AAGATTTATTTATTTATTATGTATATAGAAGAGGGCGCCAGATCTCATTACAGATGGTTGTGAGCCACCATGTGGTTGCTGGGAATTGAACTCAGGACCTTTGGAAGAGCAGTCGGTGCTCTTAACCTCTGAGCCATCTCTCCAGCCCCTACACTAACCTTTTAAGGAACCTAAATGTTTTCCGAAAGAAATAATTCAGTGACAAACATTATTAATTAATCACATTATCAGAAAATTCTACCTCTAATCAAATTTTAGCCTTCACAGAACTTTAATGTTGTTTTCTTTCTAACCAACATCAACGCTAGGATATAAATAATATATAAGTAGGAGGTAGGCCTGGTGGGATACGCCTTTAATCCCAGCACTCAGAGGCAGGTGAATCTCTGAGTTTGAAGATAGCCTGGTCTACAGAGTGAGTTCAAAGACAGTCAAAGCTACAGAGAAACTATCTCAAACAAACAAACAAACAAATGCATATATACATACAAGCAGGAACCTCACCTCTTGAAGAAATGCCTGAGGCTATGGCATTATACTAGAGGATGCCCATTACATAATGCTCCCAGGCAATCAAATCTAGTCTACTTTAAGGACACACAAATTTTTATCTTTTTGATCGGTTACTTTCACAATGTAGCAAACATGAGAAGATGGAGAATTAGAAGGAAGATACATGGTTGGGCAAATGTCTCATTATAACTGGGAATGCACTTTGACAATGCAGTATGACGGAACCTAGATACATTCCAACCCAGGAAACCTATAGCCAATTTCTCAGCAAAAACCACAAAGCTCTCCGGTTCAATACACCTCTACCTGACGGTACTTCTGCTGCTCACAATGTTAGTGGTCACTCACAAAGGGAAGGGGTACTAAGACAGCAATAGACGGTTCAGTTATACACAACACTTTTTTCTTTAATTTTGGTTTTTCAAGATAGGGTTTCCCTGTGTGTGTAGCCCTGGCTATCCTAGAACTCAATTTGTAGACCAGGATGGCCTCAAACTCTAAGAGATCGCTTACTTCTTCCTCCCAAGCACTTTTCATATCATTCTAGAAAACCTAAAAGGTAAATTTAAAAGGTACTTTATAATCATAAACCTACATCTACTTTCTCTTTTCATTAACTTCCCAAACAAGACAGGGTTTCTCTGTGAAACAGTCCTGGCTGTCCTGGAACTTGCTCTGTAGACTAGGCTGGCCTCAAACTCAAGAGATTCACCTGCCTCTGCCTCCTCAGTGCTGGGATTAAAGGTGTGCGCCATTACCACCTGGCCTCATTAACTAACTCTTAATTTCAATATCTTTATCAGTAGTCTTCAAATATATTTTAAAAGTCATGTAAAAGCTCAGGAGAGAGCCGGGCGGTGGTGGTGCACGCCTTTAATCCCAGCACTTGGGAGGCAGAGGCAGGCGGATCTCTGTGAGTTCGAGGCCAACCTGGGC